ACCATAGTAGACCTGAAGATGTAATGCCCTATTATGTACACACCATAGTAGACCTGAAGATGTAATGCCCTATTATGTACACACCATAGTAGACCTGAAGATGTAATGCCCTATTATGTACACACCATAGTAGACCTGAAGATGTAATGCCCTATTATGTACTCATCACAATCTACATGAAGATAAAATACCATATTGGATGCTTAAATAATTTTGATCTTTTTTTATTCTCATTGATTATTTATGTCTTTTTTTATTTTGTGTAACTTTTGTTTACAGACGTTACGTTCGAAAATAGCACAATTATTACATGTTTGTTTGTTTTTCTCGAAATTAACAATAAAATAATTCAACAACTGATATATAAAACCAGAGATTAAAATTTATTGTAACTATTGTTTTTTTTCCAGTAAAAGTAAACAAAAAAATTACATGTACTTTCCAGACAAATACCACCCACTAGTGAAACACTTCCTGCAAACAAATACTGGATACTGAGAGGAAATAATGACCAATCATTCGTGACATTTAGGTACAGTTGTCCTTGATCCATTCATTTCTTCTGGAGATTCATTTTGCTCTTCTCTAGATGTCGCTGTAAAAAATAAGAAATTAAGATATTAGAAAATAAAAAAACACGAGGTTAATTTCATATGTTCCTGATGTTATGTTAATTGAAAAATTAAGTTTTGTTCATACCTTTTCCCAGATGAACCTGACACCATTTCTTTATTCTGTAACAGAAACAGACGAGACAACAGATTCCTAATTGGCTGAAACCAAACAACATCGGAAAGATCGTTAAATTTCCTTGAGCCTACAAAAGAAAGACAAATATATTTCAGCAAAAACGTTTAGTGTTTAAGCCCTCTATCTTAATTTTTCTTCTTGTGACTTTTTTTATTTGTCTGTATCTATTCTACTTTCTCTAATATTTACCTATTTTTATGTAAATGTACGAAACGTTTCTCATACTTGTTTTATTATTTACTTTACTAATAAAATTAGTTGAGATTATTGTTTACTAATACAAATAATAGCTCTTTCGAATTAAGATAAATTTCGCCTACAGTTTCTTATTAGAAATTATTTTCATTTCTGTACTCTACTTTCATAGTTGTTATTAACAAAAAAAAATTATATATAACATTTCAGTATATCCCGTATTTCGTATTACAAATTATTATTTTTTTTTATTTCTATATTTAGATAGTTCTGTTATTAATTGTCATTTTTATTTCCTCTTTCCGGGATATCTACTTATTTCTATTTATCAAATCATTTTTATGTCATGGATAACCCGTATTTTTTATTGTTTGTTTCTTATTTTTAGAATAACTTATTTTTGTATTCGTAGTAACTTACTAACAACTGAGTGAATCACCCCTATTTATAATTTATTCCTTGTTGTAGATATTTTAAAAACCTTTCCTTTATTACTATTCCCGAATATTCTAGAACTAATTTGATTTCACATGGTGCGCCCTCTAGTTAAAATCGAAATTACCACATTAAAAATGTAGCTGTTATTATCAGTAGCATATTTACTTCTTATTCCTGGGACCTCGTATTTTTTATTATTAATAGCTATATTTATTTCCTACGTATAACATAACCTGTATTTTAAATTATTAATAGCTATATTTATTTCCTATGTATAAATAACCTGTATTTTAAATTATTAATAGCTATATTTATTTCCTATGTATAACATAACCTGTATTTTAAATTATTAATAGCCATATTTATTTCCTATGTATAATATAACCGTACTTCTTATTATTGATAGCAATATTTGCTTTTGCTTTTTCTCTAGGATTCCTCCCCCACCTTTTTAAACGATTAAGATATACATTTATTTATTTTGTTTTTATTGTAAACCTTTGTTCTTACCTCAAAAGGAAATGACAAGGACAAAACTGTAAATGCTGTACCGACATTTTGAATTCCACATTCCAGGGCTATTGTCCGCTTCAAGGAATCTGCCTGGCGAAACAGAGAAGCTGCAGTGTAGCCTATAATTAGTCCTAACGTAGGCAATAAAATAGCAGATATACATACCTGCCACGATATGCTATTAAGTATACCTGGAAAAATTATCTGATCCATAATTACAACGACCAAAATAAAAAGAAATCCAGATAAACTGCCAATCTGTGAAAAAAAGAAAGACAAAATTAAATGTGATATTATTAAACTAGTAATCTATATCAGTATCTATTTAAAGCATAATACATTCTTTAGCTTTTCCAGGTAGAAATTGTCAAGATATATTTTTCATTTGGTTTAGAAAAATGAAGTTAAAAACTCTAACACAATTATTAAAATAAGAAGTTAACGAAAAATACAACAATATGCAGAGTACATTATGTTAAAATGATTTTGATTCTTAAATCCAATAGATGACGCGACAGTCAACTTAAGATCGCAATAGAGTATGTATCGGAACTAAATTTTGACATTGTTATACATTTTGTAGATAGTGTAATGCCATCTACAATCGATTGCTTGTGAGAAGCAACATATTGATACACTCCGATGGTGTGTTCAGATTTGTGAATTAGACAAATGCGTGGAATCACTGGGTTTTGGTTTTGCTTACTGAATTTTCCAAAGGAATATTTTTGTTACTGCTTTTTATTGTAAGTCGATAAAAAAAAAACACGTTAAGCTGGAATACGATTGTGGCAAATTGGTCCCTAATACAGTGTTTAATATTCGTTTCTCTTTTAAGAAGCTCGCAGTTCAGACTCCACACAGACGAAACGTTCACAATATGTACGTAGGTAAATTATCAGATAATATTAGTTGACAATAAGTAATATTTACCTTAGTACAAATATACGCCACACGAGGGAGTTTCCATTTCACAAGTAAGCCACCAAACACAGGTAGAGTAATTGACACGATGGACAACGCTATCTTGTCGAACGGGATCACTAAATCTCCTGTGTCCAGCGCGTAGCTGTAAGCCCATAATGTGAAAGGCATCATTCCAAGGGCTATTACAGTAGAACAGGATGTCATCGTTACGCTGAAAAACACACATAAATATCACAAGTAAGGATGTTCTTAGAACTAATGTCATCTTTGTTGTGGATATTTGAACAAACTTACACAAGGACTATCTGAAGGCAGCTAATCAACAGTACCGACCGCCAACTCCTGGGATACTCTAATCCATTGATAGGATTTGAAGGTCACTCTTATAACTTATCCATGGCCTCAAAGTGTGAGAGTAATTTTACTGCAACGGGATGCGAACTTTAACCCCCCCCCAAAAAAAAACAAAAAAAACCGTAGCAGGGATTTAGTTTTTAGAGGAAATAAACCTTCCCAAACTAGGGTGTTCAGGGATGTTAGCATCCCCCTTCACCCCCCTCTCGTGGTAATTTATTAGTTACAATTGTAATAGATTTAAAAATTAATTATAGAGAATGAACAGGTATTGTTTCAAAGCGATTTTCACGTCATAAAATGGAGAATAAATGTCCCGAGGGCTCGGTGACAGAGAAAAGAGCAAGACTGATGACAACGAGAAGGATGAAGGCGTCAAAACATACTCCAACAAAGTTCCCTTATTCGTGGTCACAGTGTGGCTGGGAATCATTAAATCCAAATGCCGTAGAATGTGTTGTGGGGGAAAACGGGAGGTCCCCGAGAACACCCACTTTCAAAGGACAGGCGCCGAATAGTCTAACTGTCCTCTGTCCAAACTGGAAAATTAAAACCACATGAAAGGGTTAAAACAACTCTGTACTGTTGTAATGTATTTACAACAGTTTAATGTATTAAACAGGTTCAGCCAATGTAAGATGGTCATCAAATGTTAAAACAACTCTGTACTGTTGTAATGTATTTAAGTTTGTTTTGAAGTTATCAAAGGTTCAGGCAATGTAAGATGGTTATCAAAGGTTCAGCCAATGTAAAATGGTTATCAAAGGTTCAGCCAATGTAAGATGGCTATCAAATGTTCAGCCAATGTAAAATGGTTATCAAAGGTTCAGCCAATGTAAGATAGCTATCAAAGGTTCAGCCAATGTAAGATGGTTATCAAAGGTTCAGCCAATGTAAGATGACCATCAAAGGTTCAGCCAATGTAAGATGGTTATCAAAGGTTCAGCCAATGTAAAATGGTTATCAAAGGTTCAGCCAATGTAAGATGGTTTAGATCCGGGAAGGAGGTGTTATTTACAAAGAGAATGTAGATGAGAGGTGAGAGGACGGACCCTAGAGGGACTCCGGTAGTAGTGTTATATGTTTTATTAACTTTAACTGAAGCTGTACGGTTACTAAGGAACTTGGATACTGTGTCGTTTATTTTCACGTTATGGGGCCGGTATCTAACGGCCAGACAGAGTCAAAAGCTTTCTTTACGTCTAAAAATACGGCTAAGGTTCCTTATTATTAAATGACTTGTGAATAGATTCACTTAGTCTGGTTAGTAGGTCTATTGTTTGTCTACCTTTAGTCTGGTTAGTAGGTCTATTGTTTGTCTACCTTTAGTCTGGTTAGTTGGTCTGCTGTTTGTCTACTTTAATCTGGTTAGGTAGTCTATTGTTTGTCTACCTTTAGTCTGGTTAGGTAGTCTATTGTTTGTCTACCTTTAGTCTGGTTAGGTAGTCA